TTACCATACGAATTATGCCAAATGTACAGAAGATTTTTCACAGAAAAAATACAAATGCTCACATGTGATGTGGGTCCCACCTGAATTAAATATTGTTAAAAAAACAATCGGGCCCCACATGTTTGTGTGTTTTCTGGAAAAATTATGTGACATTTTCCCCTGTAATTGTAGCATAACTCATTACCATACACCGTTCAAAAGTGAATCTACAACATTTATATGATGTCCTTTTCATTGATTTTACGTGAATAAAGTGAAATTATACGACATCATATAATTGAATATGTGGACATTATTTTATTAAACAATATGCAGTTGAAAGTAAGAGAAAGAAAAATGTATTTTTGAAAATAATGGGGACCAAACAATGATTTATAATATTCAAATATGAATGTTTAGATGAGATGGTTTGAGAAAACTATTGTACTGATTAGATTAAATTGAATTGAAGATGCTATTCTGATATAATACAAACATTTTCATTAATTTTTGGCTTACAATTGATTTTATTTTTATTTTTTTTGGAGGGGGACGGTGTAAAATAACAGCTATCATCTTTGGCTTTCTTCCCATTTTCAATTTTATCTTTAACTTTCATTTTTTGCAGGATTATCTTTATTCTTTCGGTCGTTGAAAGTTGCCATCCACACAGGCAAATTCCATTGAAAAATACCATTAGATCTTCACGTGCCACTCGAGTGTTGATTAAGGACAAGAATAATATGGTCAAAACACAATTAAAAACAATATAAACTTTAAATTATTTCAATGATTTAATACAAAAAGAAAAGAAAAATGTTAAGAAAGGGCAAAAACTTCGTCTTCCTAACCAACCCGCCTCGAGGCTCAAACCGCTAACTTTTCTGATTTGAATATTCAAACGATTTTTAAAATAGTTACTCCTAATTAATCTGATTTACTTCAAAACTAAATGTTGATGATTCACCCGAATTCAAACCTACGATTTCATTAACAGTTTCAACTTTTTCATATTTGCTTACAACGATATTCATATGGATGAATGTTTTTTAAAGTTGTTTATCAAACTCCATGCGTCCCTTCGAGGGTTAAATATTTAACTTATAAATTGCGAATTACAACTTCTACCCAAACTATTTACATGCACAAGTCACATATATAATATTCAAGCATACGAGTTCATAAAATCTGAGGCATATTTTCTATACGTAATTTGTCATGTGCGTAATTCATAATACTACACATAACTTTAGTTACACCTATGCATAGAACCTCAATAACATGGAGAGATTCTTTATATGCTTTTGCAAGGTTTTTTCTTTTTTGTCATTAAACCTTCGTTTGTTTCTCATTTTTCATTCCAAAAAATTGGGCTCAAACAAATCCTTAATTTGACATTTAGCCCCCGTTTGTTTCTTATTTTTCATTCATAAAAATGAAAAATATGACCGTTATCCATCACATCAAGCCATCAATTTTGAATTTCTATATCTTGTGTGGGACCCAATAATGACTATATTTTTCATTCTCATTCTATAATAATGAGAATCAAACGGGCCCTAAATTTGAGATTTAGGTCTTGTTTGTCTCCTATTATTTCAAAACATTGTTTGTTACTGTAAGATTCTCCACCACACATTCACCCAATAAAATATTCTACACACAAACCAATAAAGTTATTTTAAATTTCAACCACACATTCTTCAAAAAATATTATTCACTACTCCGTTTCTTCTACAATAATGAGAGAAACACACACTTATTGTTCAGTTATTAGAGACACGTCGTTTGCTCCTCCATTAATTTTTTTTCTTTAATTTTGAATTGGTTGATCATTTGAGTTTTTTTTTGTTGTCTGTGCTGGCTTAAGAATTCCGTACATCCTAACTCATTTTATATAAAGATATATGCGTTAGCGAGTCTCTTTATCTGAGGGGGCGGAAGGAGGCTTACCTTAATTTTTTTATGAACTNGGGGGGGGGTGCATTGAATAGCGGTCTTCGAGAAAAATCGTTAATACCATCCTATATCATGAACCTTTTTTTTACGTATCATCTCAATATAAAAATAATTTTTATCCCCTCTGGCCTCTGGCTTCGGCCATATTTATCTTCGTTAACATATTTCATATTTTCTTATAGCACCTGAGTTTGCACTTTGTAGCTTTTAAGATACACTATGCAACTATTTTACATTCAAAGCAATTCTCTTCTTTACTCTTTTAACTTTATTTTTAGTACGCCTCCTCTCATTATCAAAATAAATTATTTCTTAATTTATAAGCAACCAAGGGAACAAGGGGTCCCCAATCTTTCACTCTAGGTGTTTTTGGGCCTCCAACCTACAAAGAAGAGCAGCTGCATCCTCTAAGTTTCTATTTTGTTGCACCTCCAGTCCTTGTTCCTATCTTCTGTCAAAACTTCCATTAAAATAATTGCTTAATGTTGAAAAGAAAATTTTAACGTAATTGATTTTAACAAACAAGGAAAACAATAAAAAATAAATCAATGAAAAATAATAGAAAAATAAAAATAGCAATTCATCCTCCCAACACACCGCACATCACTTTAATGGAAGTTTTGACGGACAATGATAAGGCTGGGATTAAAACATCACCATTTTCTACTATGTTTCTTAATTGATTTCTATATTTTTAAATAATTTAATATACAATTTTAATTTAAATTACGAAGTAAAAAAAAACTAAGAGTCGGATTGGGTTTTAAGGCACGTACCATATTCTACATTCCGACCTCAATCCCCCAATCGGGTGAGACGGGGGTGGCATAAGGACCTTTTTTTTAAAAATCCGTACAACATAATTGACGTGGAACGAACTTAAGCCCCTATCTGGGCTCAATTTTTTAAAAAATGTATTTTTCTCTTTCTCTTATTTTGAATCATATATTCTCCAATAAAATAATATTGCATATAAATTTTAAAAAATTCTTACTTTTTAATCCCATATTCTCTAAAAAAAACCACTATTTCAAAATCTATTTTTAACGGAGCCCAAATAGGAGCTAAGACTTTTGAGTATGCAATTGCTCATTTTAGTAAGTTGGGGACCCAATTACACAGTGCAAAAGATTGAGAACCTTGCTACTATTTATTATCCCCTACTTTTTAGTTTTTAAACGCTCACCCCCCACAAAAGCAGTATTAAATGGGTCCCGCAACATTCTGTAGGGCCCGTGTCCACTCGCAAGATTCACTCTCGACATCTCAACCGCCCTTGTCACTCTCAGCAAATCTAAATTCTCACGGAATCTTCATTAAAGAAACAAATAATAGTAGATTAATTTCACAAATCTATATAAATTATGAAATCAATGTACTCCTTCACATGATCAGAGTTTTATTCGGAAGATTATCTGAACAAAAACGCATATTGCTGATAAATTTTAGACTGTTTTCTTTTAATTTTATTCTCCGATTTCGGTTTTCCTCTCTTTCTAGGGTTTGCTCGGATCTCTCTACTTCCTGTAAGTTTTATATGAACCCTTTTGCTGTTTCACATTATTTTGACAAATTGAATGCATTCTGGGAATTTGTGATACTGTATGTATTTGTTTGTGTATCTTCCTCATTGCTGTTCTGTTGGCTAGAGAACGGTATTTCTAATCTGTTGATGAATAAAATTTAATTTTTCATTTTATTTTAGTGGCATTTTTTCGTTGATGTGGGGTCGTGCTTGTGGAAATGAGTCTACTTGTATTCCTCGGAAAAATGTTCTGAGACGCGAGGTAGAATATGAATATCAATTGCTAGAGTTGCTGTGTTAATAGTGAATTTAATCCTGTTGCTTTACTTTTGTTTGTACAATTAGGAAATGGATTATGATTCGGCTTGGATTGGCCGATAAAAAGCCTAGGAACATATAAAACAACTCTACATTGAAGTTCCTCCTTAAAATAATGGATTGGCATCTTCCAAGCATGGGGATTGATATGGATAAGTTATTGTAATCTGGCAACCTTAGCTCTATGCTTTGTATGTACAAGGATGTGGAGAAGTTTGGAATTGTTATGCATGCATTTTTATTTATTGAGTTATTCTACACAAGTATGGGTGTGTTATTTATTACCATATCTTCTCAAGTGTTTATCTGTGAAGTACCCACTTGGCTCTGAAACATTGATATCACACAGACTAATAATTCAATATAATAACCTTTAAATTGAAAAGACTGACACGTGGAAGGCATTACTGCAACTAAATATATTTACGCTTTTATAAATTTCGGTAGCACAACTTGTCAATGTAACATTGGCATTATGGATTAGGCATCGGCTATATTCTAATGAGCAGCTCCTACTTTTTTGTATTTCGTAATACTAAAACTTTTCTTCTTTTCCATTTATGAAGTGTAAGTAACGTATTAAGAGTTGTTACCACGAGTAAACTGAAAAGGCTCGTCTCATTATGCTTTCTCATCACTTCAATAGAAGTTTAAAAGCTGAGTGTTTGCAACCCTTTTTTTCAAGCATCCTGAAGAAACATGCTTTAAAGTGTTGTGTAGTCATTTTTATATGGGTGCATGGTAGCCATAGTTGTGTGCAAGGTGTTGGAAAAATCCAATTTTTAATCTAATATTTTCAAATGGATTATTAGATGTGTTCTTGGTCATCTGTGGAGTGTACTTCCTTAATCTTTTAGTCGTTCATTTCATTGATTTCTTTTCTGCATTCTCAGTCTCAGTATTTTATCGAACTGTAGGTATTTTTATTCTGTTCTCTCATTCACTGATCTGTTACAAGCATAAGAGTCCGGAAGATTGCTTGGAAGGTTAGAGTATGATGGGCATCTAAAATTATACACCCAGTTCATAAGAAAATAAAGTTTGGGGCTTTTGAAAAGAGATTGCCGGAATGGTTTTGATTATTATTGAATGAGCATTTTCTGCCACAGTTTCTTCCAAGTGGCAGGACTTATGAGATTGTTTCAGGGAAATGTTATGCAAAATAGAGTTCTATGTTTACACATGTGTGAGCAGAATGTGGGAAAATAGAATTTGAACAATGGATGACCATAGAGAATCCGAAGTTCTGCTTCCCAGCTGGATTAATAAAAATTCATCAGAAATGGCTGAATCTCGTCTTTTTATTATCTCTTGCATCATTGCTGGTTTGATAGGAATTCTGACTATATTATTTACGGCTTTCCAGTGGAGAAGAAATATAAACTTAAGTTGGATGAAAGCCATTGCAAAGTCAAAGAAAAACCCAAAAGCACGCAATAAAATTCCTCTGGCTCCTCATTCATGGGTTTTGGAATCTGTGATTCGAGGAAAAAGTCTGAATTGCTGTGTATGCTTAAAGTCTCTGTCACCTTCGCAGTCTCTTGGTCCTGCGGCGGCTTCAGACATGTTTATCCACCGTTGCAGCATATGCAGTGCAGCAGCTCACTTGATCTGCTCATCAAATGCTCAAAAGGATTGCAAGTGTGTATCGATGTTTGGATACGGTTATGTAATGCATCAATGGGCAGTGCGGTGGACGGAGGTGACAGACCAACCTGATGAATCTTCTTTCTGTAGCTACTGTGAAGAGCCATGTAGTGGATCTTTTCTTGGGGGATCCCCTATATGGTGTTGTTTGTGGTGTCAACGTCTCGTGCATGTTGACTGCCATGGTAGCATGTTTAATGAAACAGGTGATATCTGTGATTTGGGCCCTTTTAGAAGGCTTATCCTATCTCCACTTTATGTGAAAGTTTTGAAGAGTACTGGTGGATTTTTAAGTTCCATCACTCATGGGGCAAATGAGATTGCATCTTCCGTACGTGCTAGTATCAGAAGTCAAAGTAAGAAGTACAAGCATGGAACTGAGACCTCTGCTGATACCGATAATAGTAGTAATTTGAGTGTGTCATCAACAGAAAGCACCACAGAGACTAGTCAAACAGTAAATGGGTCTCACAGTGTGGAAGAAAACTGCAATCAAAATGTGAATACAGATGGAGTGGATAAAAAACAAGATGGTGAAGCAAAAGAGATGGAGAATAAAGCCAGTTTAAAAAGAAGTTCATCAAGTAATCAGAATGGTGAATCAAAACATATGGAGAAGAAACCCAGTTTCAAAAGAAGCTCATCACTTAATCAGAAGGATGAATTTCAGTTAGTTGGTATGAGACAGAAATATGAACTGATTGATTTGCCTCCAGATGCAAGACCCCTGCTAGTTTTCATCAACAAAAAGAGTGGAGCTCAACGAGGGGACTCACTCAGGCACAGACTGAACATTCTTCTTAATCCTGTTCAGGTCAAAGATTTAATAATACAAGTTCTTCAGCTATTTTATGAAGTAGACATGCATGCATTACTCAATACTGATTCTTACCATCTCTATGAGGGTGTCAAATGTGTGTCTGTTTTTTTTTTTTTTTTGTGTGTGTGTCTTTGTGCACGTGAATGGGACAAACAACCCATTCGTGTGAGCCATGTCTGCCTAATAATGATGGAACCAGGAAGAATGATCAGCTATATTGTTATCAAATGTTGTTGATTTATAAACTTGAATTTCATGCCTATTCCACCACCCTGAGGAGAGGAGGCAGCCATATTTTTGGATTGTCTTCATTTTCTAACAAAATTTATTAAAACCGAGTTGATGATAACTTTTATAAACTTATTCTATTGTGACTAATAATCTTGAGAAACTCATTCAAAACAAAACTTAAAACAGATTCTAGTTTGGAGAGATAAAAGTGAGTGCAGGAAGGTAGCACTTTTGAACTTTCTCTATCAATAAAACTTTAAGAAATAAAGCTCCAAGTGAGGGCAAAAACATGGCCATAGATGCTCCAAATTTAGCTGCCCTTGTGCATCCCAAGAAAGGTTAATTAGAGATGTAGATAAAGCCCATCTTGATTTCTTCTGCACGTGTATGGGATTGTACCTCAAATCAAACTTGCTTAGTAGTCTTCAATTGTTGGTGATTAGGAGATTGAATTGTTGGATTCAACCATCTTAAAGGATACATAGAAATGAACCTACCTTTTACTTTGTTGGCAATGCAAACTTTTATTTGCTGCAGGGGTGTTTGTCTACCTCACCCTGACTTTTTTAATTAACTTTAATTCTAGGTTTTTGAGTTAAGCTCGACACAGGGTCCAGAAGTCGGTCTATATTTATTTAGAAATGTTCCTCACTTCAGAATCCTTGCCTGTGGTGGAGATGGTACTGTTGGCTGGGTATTAAATGCCGTAGACAAGCAGAACTTTGTTTCTCCCCCGCCTGTAGCCATTCTTCCTGCAGGAACTGGAAATGATTTGGCTCGAGTACTTTCCTGGGGCGGCGGTTTGGGCTCGGTTGACAGACAAGGAGGCCTTTGCATGCTTTTGCATCACATAGAACATGCTGCAGTTACCATCCTTGATCGGTGGAAGATATCAATTTCAAACCAGCAGGGAAAACCACTCCAAGAGCCGAAGTTTATGAACAACTATCTTGGTAAGTTGGTATGTAGATAGATTTCAACTAGACCAGTTTACATGTGTTTGTAAAGCATTTATAAAGTATTTTACACGCCTTCAAGATGTTGGATACTAATTTTCAGTTGGCTTATGGTTTGCTCAAATGGTCCGTGTCAGGTTAAATTTACCACTTTTGGAGCAGAAAAATGTTTAGCTTACGTACTCCCAGATTATAATCCAGATCATAGTCTTACATATTGTTGGTCTGTTGGCATCTTTTGGAAGAGCGGTAGTGATTTAGTCCACTCTAAATCTTTGATTTAACTAGTCAATAGGAAGGAAGTCTGGGTGCTTAAAGGCTCCTGCCACCAAGGTTTCAATGGATGCCTAGTGTCGGCAGCTTTGGATAGAGCTACTATGACACTTCGTTTACTCAGAGTTCAGCTTAGGGTTTATAGTCAACCCGACTCGAATTTAAGTTCCCTTCACATGAGTTGCCGTATCCATGTGAATAACAGAGTACATTTTTAAGCCTCCACAACATACCTTTTTTTTTTTGGAGGATAAATCTCATTTAGTTAGGAAACGATATTAGAGTGAAATGTAAGAGCTTTTACATACCCGCCTTTCCTTTTTTTGTTGAGCGTGGGCGTGCGGGTGTCGGGGGTGGGGATGATTTTATCTATTTCCAAAATTGAAGTCTTAACTTGATTCCTACAATTATTCAAGTCAAAGGTGAAAGCTTTACGTTTGTAAGCCTATTCAACTTTACACCTAGGAGTATGACACAGAGTGAAAGGTTGGTGATCTTGCAAAATTCTACTATATAGGGTAAAGATGATTCAGGAAAGAGAAGTTGAAGTAGAGTGGATTCCTGGACATCCCCCAAGTCCAAACTCAGATATAAATGATTAGGATAGATAAAATAAATTTTACACCTTCAACTCGATACACTCACTTTCCCTCTTGCACACATGGACACACACACACACACTCTCACAGAGAGAGTAACCAAATCTGTTTACAAACTCTGGTACTTCTTTCTGGCTTTCTTGTTCCTGTCCGAGTGTCCCCAAAAAAATATGATCAAAGCAGACTATTTCTTATCTATGATCTCCCTTCTTGCCTTTTGGGTTAGAATCTGAAACTCTAGTCAATGCAGAGTTTATATTATGAAACCCAGCAAACAAATTCTCTTCTAACAAAAACTCTCTTGAAAGCAATATTGAACTCACATATAGTACATGTATATAAAAACCAGAAACTGATGAGTTCCTAGCAAGAGGAAAATGCTAAGCTATCAGGATTATTCATTTGATCTTGAAGAGGAGAAGTGATTTTGTGGCTAGAACTTCCTCTGTTTGAGCACTTGGTCAGAATATGGAGGAAGGCAGTCTACTGTCTTCTCTATTGTTCTCTATCTTGAGAATAGCAAATAGGTGAAAAATTATGATCACATTCATGTTGTGGGGAAAAAATACAAGTATTGGATTGCTATATTGATGTGTGTGGAATTTCCTATCCCAGACACGGATAGAGATAATATGTGCAATCGGTAGTTACTACTTTCTTTCTGCTGTTATTGATCCTGAGACGAGTTAATTAGGAGAAGTGAGTATGAACTCGTACATATTAGCGAAAATTAAAAGCAGGGGAGATCTCCAGTCATGTCTGGATTTCCTGTTCCAACAAGTGACAGAGCTAATATTTGCAGTCTGAAGTCACATGAAACCATGCTCTTTTTGGTCTAGCTTTTTGAGCATTTCATACACGTTTTGGAGGACAGCATAACACTTTATGTTTTGGCTTTAAAGGCAGATATATCCTATAGGAAAGAACCTATATAATATTTTAGCCTAATTTGAATATGCAACCTTGTGTACATTTGCTTTATATCTTATAATTATGCAGTGTTGATAGTCGTCGTGGCTCTTGTTATTGTAGGAGTTGGATGTGATGCAAAGGTTGCTCTCGAAATCCATAATCTTAGGGAGGAGAACCCAGATAAGTTTTACAATCAGGTACAATGATTTTTATTTTATTTTTTCTTCTTCCTTCTGTCGTGATTTAAAATGTCAGGTGGGTATTTTGGATGGACAGTTTTCAAATATGTTTGCCAGAACAGATGCATTTATGGATGACTTTTGTCTTTGTATTTCACAGCGTAAGCTTCAGTCTTGTATTAATCAACTGGCTTTTTTTAATATTTCTTTTTAACGGTAGCAAATGGCCTTGTGACTTTATGCAAAGTCAATAATGTTACTTTAATAGTTTGACGTAGACGCAGAGAAAATGTTGAGAAGCAGATTTCAATGTTTATGTTGCTCTTTTAATTTGTGCACTGCAGCTATATACACTTTAAGATGTTATAAATGACCACTTTTTGCCCCTTCTTTCATTTAATAAATTTTTAAATAATCGAGCATCTTTCTGAAATGTTCAGTGGAACCTTTTGCAATCGTTCCATACATCTTGTACAATGTTAGAGCCATTCTCACAAGTTATTCTGGATGTTATGTTTGATTATGTCAGTCTCGTTCAAAGTATAAACTAGGATTATGAACTTTCGTCTTTCCTCCAAAATGCTATTTTATTTGGCTTCCCCCCTAAATTTGCCTAATAATAGTTTTTATTTCTGTTGCTACTGTTACTGCAGTTCATGAATAAAGTTCTTTATGCAAGAGAAGGAGCCAAGAGTATCATGGATAGGACTTTTGCAGACTTCCCTTGGCAAGTTCGTGTGGAGGTTGATGGCATTGAGATTGAGGTTCCTGAGGTGGGTGTAATAGATTTATGTGAGCCAAGTATAGCAATAAATTGTAGTAGGATCAGCTTCTCTGAACTTATTTTTTACTTGGAATAATTACTCTTTCAAATTGCACGTGTTAGTCCATTTCATTTTTCCCTAATTGTTGATGGGTTTTCTTTCACTCTTCTTGATGTTAAATTTGTATTTATGTATCAATTTATAGATAATAATATTTTTCTTGTCCACCCATCACCCTCACTGTTTTAACAATTAAATTCAACCTATCTCACTAAAAATATGGTTCTTTTTTTTATTAATTTAGGATGCAGAGGGTGTCCTTGTAGCTAACATTGGAAGCTACATGGGTGGTGTAGACTTGTGGCAGAATGAAGATGAGAGCTATGAAAATTTTGATCCCCAATCCATGCATGATAAAGTGCTCGAGGTTGTCAGTATTTCAGGTACATGGCATCTTGGAAAGCTTCAGGTATGTTTGTTCAAATGCTTACGGACAATATAAATGTCGTCAGTTATTCTTTTTCGTGTTGTCTATGGGAAAATTCGGTGGTAATTTAATTGGTTGAGGGAATGTGAGACATGCTTTAGAGCATATATGCCTTTCTCAGTAGATTATTTCAATCAATTTGATAGAAGTATCCAAAAAAGAGGCCAAGATTGCCAGAGTTTATATAAATCGTTCTTTGTTTTTTACTATAGGAACACCTGTTAACGTTCGGGAATAAAAGAAATTTTGAGATATATTTATGGTTCAGATTAGGACCCTCCACTGATGAATTGTGGTTTCAGTTTTCTTTCGATGGAAAGCCATTATACAGTTTATGTTTCTGTGGACAGGTGGGTCTATCTCGAGCTCGTAGGCTGGCACAGGGACAGTCAATTAAGATTCAGCTTTTTGCTGGTTTGCCTGTTCAAGTAGATGGGGAACCATGGTTTCAGCAACCTTGTACATTGACTATATCACATCATGGGCAGGTTTAATGCTCTCTCTCCCTCCCTTTCCCTACTCTGCACCCTCCAAATTAGTGATATAATAACTAAGTAAAAGCAGAGTAGAAGCTATTGGTTAAAGGCCGGAAACATTGAAAGGGCAGCACATACATGTCGATCTTTGATTAGTGCCTCATAAATGAGGCTGTATTCTACATAGGAGAAGTCCCTTGTTTTATGGAATTGTTGATGGCTATGGTCAACTGTTTAGTACAGCATTTTCTAACGGATCTGTAATTGTCTCTCACACATATGATGTCATATTCACGCTTGTCTACTGTGAACATGGAGATGTATAACATCCGTGTTTTCTTCTTTTTGTGATTCGTTAGGCCTTCATGCTGAAAAGAGCAGCAGAGGAACCTCTTGGTCATGCGTCTGCCATAATTGCCGATGTCCTCGAGAATGCAGAAACCAACCACGTGATTAATGCAACTCAGAAAAGGGCGTTGCTTCAAGAAATGGCACTCAGACTATCCTAGAGGCTTATTTTAAATAGTGATATGATGTAAAATATGTGGTTAAAAAGTAAGGAAAGGTTATTGATGTGGTGAAAAATATTATTTTATTGAAAAATGTGTTGTTGAAAATGAGTTTTGAAAAAATGCGTGTCAAATAGGGGGCTTTATAACACCACCTTTTCGTCATTGCCCATCCACTGTTTCGTGTCTAATATTTTGACGAAAAGGAAACTAAGTGCTTCTAGTTGAAACTTGTTGTATATGAAATAGAGATGGCAAATGGGTTGAGCGGCTCGTCGGCTCGTGAAAACACGAGCCGCTCGGGCTGACCAAATGACGAGTCCGAGCCGAGCCGCAAGTGAGCACGTGAAAAATTAAAGAAAATTTTTAAAAAAAATGTGAAAAAGTAAAAAAAATAAAAATAAAAGAGGAAATTAGGCCCATTACGTTCTTTAATTGAAGAAATTGATTACTATACAACTGTATATTAATATCGTATTATTTACGTTGAGCCCCTCAAAACCCTAGCCTTCTCGCCAATCGCCCCTGCCACAATTACGGTTGCCACTTCGTCAATTACCTCTGCTAGAACCATTAGATAGTGCCTAAGGTTTGCAAAATATATTCCATTGTATTATATTCTAGAATTCTTCTCTCTCTTTTTGTTTTGCAAAACCTTATGAAATATGGGCTATACTTGCATGCAAAATTGTGGTAATTACACAAAACCATACTTTAAGTATTAAACCTTCTAAAATCATATTTGAAGTTTAATATTTCCAAAATCAAATTTTTTATTTTAATTTGCATCTTTTAGGGAAAATAATTATCCACCAACTATTAATAGTGTGTTTGATGGATATTATTGAGGAAAGAATGTATTTTAAATAGTAATATGATGGGAAATATGTGGTTAAAAAGTAAGGAAAAGTTATTGATGTGGTGAAAAATATTATTTTATTGAAAAATGTGTTGTTGAAAATGAGTTTTGAAAAAATGCGTGTCAAATAGGGGCTTCATAACACCACCTTTTCGTCATTGCCCATCCACTGTTTCGTGTCTAATATTTTGACGAAAAGGAAACTAAGTGCTTCTAGTTGAAACTTGTTGTATATGAAATAGAGATGGCAAACGGGTTGAGCGGCTCGTCGGCTCGTGAAAACACAAGCCGCTCGGGCTGACCAAATGACGAGTCCGAGCCGAACCGCAAGTGCGCTCGTTAAAAATTAAAGAAAATTTTTAAAAAAACGTGAAAAAGTAAAAAAATAAAAATAAAAGAGGAAATTAGGCCCATTACGTTCTTTAATTGAAGAAATTGATTACTATACAACTGTACATTAATATCGTATTATTTACGTTGAGCCCCTCAACAACCCTAGCCTTCTCGCCAATCGCCGCTGCCACAATTACGGCTGCCACTTCGTCAATTACCTCTGCTAGAACTATTAGATAGTGCCTAAGGTTTGCAAAATATATTCCATTGTATTATATTCTAGAATTCTTCTCTCTTATTGTTTTGCAAAACCTTATGAAATATGGGCTATAGTTGCATGCAAAATTGTGGTAATTACACAAAACCATACTTTAAGTATTAAACCTTCTAAAATCAGATTTGAAGTTTAATATTTCCAAAATCAAATTTTGTATTTTAATTAATATTTTTACTACCCTAATTCATTTCCAAAACAAAATTCATTTCCTCTCTCTCTACCCCCTTACTTCTCTCTCTCCTCTCATTCACTGTCTACCAATCCCGACGGGGAAAGATGAGAAGGCGCTTCATCGGAGGAGCGTCACCGGGCGACAGGCGGTGAATCCAACGCCGCGATCGGTGTAATTCTCTTTCCTCTCCTCCCCCTCTCTTCGTCTCTCAAACCTACTCCCTCATTCTCTCTCAGTAGTAGCGCCGCCCCCTGGAGAAGCTCCGGCACAGCGGCGTCACCACCGGAAGAGAATCTCCGGCGCAGATTTGAAGAAGAATTATACAGATCTGAAGAAGTAGAAATCTCTTCATTACTCGTCACCACCGAGGCTTCCTC